AGGACGATACTGTAACGAGTGTGGTTAGCCAGTAATGCTCGTGGTCTGGTTCCATTTGTACGAGATATTGAAAAAAAGCATCCAAACGTACGGATAAGAAATTGGCACATGCCAAACGGTAGATTTACGCCTCTTCCAGGGCATTATTAGAACTGAGTGCACAGAGAACTGTCAGGCTTGTGTTGATAACATATTAGCGTTGGGAACAGGCGTTGCCTGCCCGATGGCTGTCGGAGATGAAAGTAACCCCTGACCCTCCGAGTGTGCTAAAATGTCACAGTGATCTGCACTGTGTTGGATCTTGGTATGTAGAAACCTATCCAACTGAGCTGGCGGGTTGCAAGGATCGTTGCTGGCAATGTGAAACCTATGTTCGGCGTTTTGAGGGAGTCGAACAGTGTTTCCGCAGCAGGATAGAGAATCAGCGGGTTTGTTTTTGCTATTTGGTTAAAAACTGATGCATTTCGGTTCATTACAGCCGGTGATGTGCCGTGTGAGATCGATATCGGTGCAGCGTGATAACACACTGCTGTCGGGTCATGTAGAGTATAGACTTCACCGGGAAATCGCCTTTGTTCCTCGATCAGCCTCCTTTTGTGAGTCCGATCCGATCGGAAGGTTTTTGGGGTCATACTTAGCTATGGAATAAATCGGAGATATGTTTGTGATCTTACAGAGCCTTCGAAGAATTAATCAAAAACGATGTTACAGCCTACATCCTCGCTGTAATAACCCCGGAGACGATGGTAATAAATCATCGTTTCGAGATTGTAAGTTAGCTTACAAATTCGATGATCACGGTGTTGCTTTTACGCCTCATAACGGAGTGAATTTTTCGTCCATACACGCATAATGCCTAAGCAGCAAATATTGGACTTCAACTCACCAGTATGGATCGCGAATGCTAGAATCGAAAGGCCGCAAATTTCCTATAAGATACCACGTGATGTTGCTTAGACTATTATAACCCCACTCTTCTGACACAATTGCATGTTTACTGACCGGTAATTTTCTAAACCCCAAAAATTCGATTCCTCTAGTCACGTGAGCTGCCGAGTTTACTGACCGGAATTGCACGAGAGAATTTGACCGATTCTATATCCTCGATACAGGATATAGTTGTCTTCCGGGCATTTGCGTGATGCAATAGACTGCTACTGTTGCTGTCTCCTATGCCCAGAAGCCGGTGCGTTTTGTGCGATGCGATCTCCGTCTGTTCGTATGAACGTAGAAATTATGAAATTTCGCATGCAATCTATTAGGAACCTTCTCCCATCAACCCGTTTTTGAAATATACTTGTTCCGGTGTGATCTTGTGGCATTAATCTTATCGATTAGCAATCTGCCTCGGATCAGCGTGGAAATCTCTCGACCATGAGTGTTCCGCTCAACTACTCTAGGCTTGTGAATAATCAAAACCTACTATGGTTTACGCAGTATTCAGGCATTAGGCACGTCCACATCCGCTACCTTTTTCTTGCCTTAACAGCTTGGCGATTAGATGTTAGTTTACTGAACCATCTCAACACCCGTCACAATAGGTTTCTTACTGTATCTCAAGCTCTCCCTTTCCTGCGAATCGACTCGTTGCTGTACTCATGCTCATTGCGCAAATTAAGAAGGGGAGGCTCGAAAAACTGATGAACGAGGCCCAATGTTTCGACAGTGCGGCGGTTACCCTGATTAGAAGTACCCATGTCCTTCAAGTATCACTTTTAAGATATTCTTTCAACGTTTGGTCCTCATTTACTGCCGCAAGTACGCGCGGTCGCTTCTCGTCTGTCATGCATCAAATTGAATCTGCCACCAACCAGATCCCCTTTTATATTGTCTCACTGATGTTTCTTTGCGTTTCTCTTGATTCCAATCAAATTGTTGACGATGTAGGACGAGGAAAATGTGCGCGATCGGTTCACTTCACGTACATTCTTTGGCTGGCTAGAGGATATCAAGGATACTTTCCAACAGGAGAAGGTTCGTTTGTCTCGTAACTGTTCCTGGCACTAAATGGCAAATATTTCCATCAGACCTGTTTCTGTCATTAATATCTGGTTTGCCTCGTTTTTTACTGTTTGCTGGAGTACTTTACGTTTCCCAGTATTTTCCGTTTTGCCGCGAAATAAGTGCTTTGTCATCTGGAAAATAAGTTGCAGTATCCAGCAATCGGTAGAACTTGACTACTGTGGTTTGCGTGTGGAAAGTATCAAATACTCATTTTCAAGGTTGACAAGACCGTGTCTGTGGTCCCCTTGAGCGGTGCAAGGTACAACATTCGATACCATAGTTCGTTGTACCTGGTGGTGGCTGGCATCTCCAATTCAGTATCCGTGTCGTTCGGCACATATCTAATGTTTGATAACCAGTCTTTAGGCGATTCAGTTTAGACGTAAATATCACGCGTTCAACAGTTACACATATCAGCGGGTGCGAGCACAGTAGATTGCATCTCATTACTGAATGATTGGCTGGGTACCGCTTATCATCATAGCGCTCCATTAGCACGCAAGGCAGAAAAAAGAAGAATGCCCATGAACAGTTAGGCCATTGATTTATGGTTTGTTTATATCAGAAGTATCTAGAATCGTTAGTTGCGTAGACGCTGTTCAAACATGGGAACGTTGGCTGCTCACCTTACAAATAATCATCTTCAAAATAGTTTAGAACATTCACTGCAACACTGTTATCATTTTACAATTTCGACTTCTCACTGGCTTATCTAAGGCCCTGCTTGTTTTCGCTCTCTTCTCAGAAAAAACTACTCTGTCGCCAACTGCACGAGGCGGAGTCACTTATGATGGTACAGCGTTTGGACTGGGAGAGCAAATTGAAGGAATCACAACTGCACGATTATGGCACAGATGTCCTGAAGGAAATCCCCCATCATCATGTTCCTCTTATTCACGTCCCCAACGACTTCCCCCTGTTCGCCCACGATCCGGTTCATCGAACTGCTCTGGTCTAACTAATATTTTCACTTCCACACTCATGTGACTCTCGTTTCTAAAAGCATTTTACTTACTAACTTCGTCCCTCAGTATTCTTTCATTTCATGTATGTATATTGTCATTTACTGGCCATAAAAAGCTTACGAAACATGATATCAAAAACAGCGTTCTTGATTCCACTCAACTATCTATCCTGTCCTTTTGTCTTTAGTGCTGATCAGCTCTAGATGAAAGTAGTGTGCTTTCGAACTTTGATTAGTATTTGGCTCGCAGCCTGATTCTCAACGGTCTGCGTGTACACCGCTTGCGCTGATCCCCAATCTAACTGGTTATATTGTTGAGCGAGTTCATACGTATCGCTGGAAGAACGCTATTCGAATATGCGACCGTGAACGATAGTGGAAGAGCTCGTGAAGCATGTGAAATAGATTACGGATCGCAATAACACGTAAAAGGTGAGTAGAAAAGGGGAAATGGGGTGGGTGTGCGAGAGCCAAACGGTTAGACAAATGTCTTAGTATGGCGAAACGAAGAAATCAAAACAAAAACGGAAACTAAGTCGCTCCTCGTGGGAATGAAAAACAGCGAACATAGACAGGCCGTCAATGTGTCGGTAACGACTATCACTAATTGCCAGGCGGTTCGTGTCACAGAAATGGAACACGCTGCCTAGAGTTCGGATGTGGCGAAACGACCAGTCTGTTTGTGGGTAGTTAGGAGTGACACGTGGGAGTAATAGAAAAGTAGGAAAATCGCGCATTTGTTTTCAGAATCACTGGTGGGTGAGTTAAGACACCTGTTAGGTCTATTTACAAATATAAACAGGTACCGAGATCCTGCGACCGAATGTTCTCCAAAAACGAATCTAGAAGGCAACTCAGTCAAGTTTGTTTTAGGGTGAAACAAAAAAAAAACAAGAGCGCAAAAGAAAATAAGCCCCAGCGGTAGAAAATCTTAGTTGTTCATCAAAGGGAACACGGAGCAGGTATGTACATGGCAACACAAGGTTGGTATGATGAGCCTCAAGCGAATCGGTTTTCGTCCTCTTACGAAGTAGTTGTCTCGCCAATGGTCGTAGTTTTATCATTTGCGGAGGTGCTGAGTGGGCAGCTTCCGGACTCTCCAATCGTTCCATCTTGTCGGCAGACAACACACATAAACGAGTTGTTTCCAATGATAGCATCCTTGCTGCACGAACCGTTCCAATGCACCCACCGGTTGCAGTAGTCGCAGTGCACCCAGTCCACCACCTGAAAATAAATCAACAGAGATATATAACTTTGGGTAGGAAATCAACAGGTGAATAGGTACATCTAACGGGGAACATGGAACAGATTATCACATCTGGAACCACGATTAGGCGATACACAAACAGCCCACTTTATATCACGTACTGACCAGGATGTAAATGTTAAGTACGACTTGATGCGATGCGTATAATGTTCAGAAGGCCTGTGGTGACTGAGTGAACTAGATTTACTCACTGACATTATTTGCCGCATAACCATCCAAATACGAGGTAAATTTATGTACATTTCTGCGAGGTCAACATATATCCTTCTTATCTTCAATTCGGTTTCAACAGCGAGCAAAACTAACACTCGATGAAGCTTGATCTGCTCTATGCTGATAACTTGTAATTACTATTCAGTTGATGAGACTATACCAATGGTTCATCCGGTCGACGACCCTTTTTTATTACACACCTAAGTGTAGTGAACAGCAGACGGGGAGAACCCCATGGTCACGAGGACCTGCTGTTAAGTGGTGGAAACCGGAGACTTGGAGTGGTGAACCACATAAGGCCCCGATAGGTTGGGCGTGGTTTTGAACCGAACGACAGAAGAGATGCCTACCACCAAAGTCGGGTGGCGGGGCTCGGACCATAGGGTCCAAAGCACACCGAAGACAGCGAATAAATCACCACCACCCTGACTTGTCGATCATCCCAAGTCCCAGAGCGCACGGCTTACAGTGACAAGTCAACATTTTTCAGATCGCTTTCAATCAGGTCAAATTAGCAGTCGTGATCCGAACAAAATACTTTTTTTGCATCAATCAAAAGATTTTGATGAGAGAATGAGGAGCATGACAGAAATTCATCTTGTCTCGAAGTTCAGAGCGGGGAGCGTATATATGGCCGAACTATCAAATAATCGGTGTCCTCTTACACACAAATAAAATGCATAACAGCTCCGTACGGAAACATGATCCGGCTGTTGTTATATTGCCACTATCTCGTTGCGGTCACGTGTTTAAGAGATCGGATCACCTTGTTCGGTTAAGTTAATCGTTAGACAATTGTCACCCACGTCAGGGAGTTTTGCNAACTTGTTTTGTATATCCATTGTACAAGTGAGTAAATTGCTGAACATTCACCCTTTGGGAGGATAAATCGTTTCTTGAATTGATGGATAATGATCACTCACAGATGTTGAAAATCCAAGTGTTACGACGCTTC